GTAGGGATTCTCGCTGTTCAGAGAGCTGCTGCTCACCGCCACCGCGTCCTTCAGCTCTGTCACCACACAGGACGCAAAGAGAGAGAAGTTAGAGCACATGTGGAGAGTCAGAAACATGTGGCACAGCAGCAGGATCAAGGTCAGTCGACAGTCTGTACAATCTTTGCACCCACAGTTAAATGTAGCACCGTCTTGCTGATGTAGCTTTGGTGATCCTAATTCTCAGTAGCAGGTAATAGGAGAGGAAAAATGTGAAAACAGGGTGATAAAGTACCTTTGTTGTAATATTTTCCGAGGCTGGCACTGTAGCTGTAGCTGCGATCAATTCCAAAAGCTCCTGTAAACAATAAAAGACAAATCCTGGCGTCTTTATTTTCATTTATGGCAAACTAATCAAAAGCAGATAATCCTCTTTGGAAACCTGCAAAATAAATACCAGGTGAGTGAACGCTGGCAGCGCAACTACCAACGTTTTATGAAGTCCTTATTGTTTTTATTGTCTCATATCAAATGTGCATTGATGACTGAGAGGATTTTCTGTCCAAAGGAAATGTGATGGTTGATAAACTTTGATGTGTTGACTGTAAAAAAAAAAGAGAACTTTCTAAGTTTCCTCCTGCAGCTGTTACTGCGTGTTTCTGACCTGAATTTACACTCCTGTGATTTAACCCTTTCAGGTATAGGACAGCTAGTTAAAAGCCATTTCCTTGTATATGCATGGGTTTTAATGCTATAGTTGCATTCAAGTCACTACAGTGGACCCCAGTGTGTCATGCCATATACTGCCACTCACTGGCCAGGTGTTGTAACTGCAACACAAATCTCTGGAAACCAAGATGGCTGACAGAGTGCAAGAAATGTTGTGCAGCTCAAGAATATCTTGCCAATCCTCCTTTAATAGGAGACCCTGACAGGTAAATAATATCTGGAAAACTCATGTAACATCTAATGAGTATTACAGCTGTTAAATTTTCCAAATATTGATTATATGTTGGGAGGAAATTACAATTTATCATCTGTTGACTAAACTGGGCATTATTCATTACTGGCTGTATTTCAGCTGCAATTAAAACTATTACTGCGACTTTGTTGTTCTTAATACTGCAGTGACTTTTTATGGCTGTAAATCAATTGATTTATGTTATTAGAAGGTAATGTGCAGTTTTTGTAACAGAAACAATATTTGGACAATATTTTTGCAGAGAATGATCCCTGGAAAAATGATATAGTTCAACAGGAGGAGGTGGGTGGGGGCTGACAGCTGATATTTTTAGTAGTATTCAATGACTTTATGAGAGGTTATTTTATTGTTAAACACAAACAAATTCAGTGTTTTCCCACTGTAAGGTTCATCTGTCCTGGTGATAAAACTACTGGACACTACGACTGTAACTCAGTATCAACAGAGGAAAAATTTGCTAGCTGCTAGGCTAATTATGCAATGTAAAATTGCTTAGATAATATTGGGTGATTAGCAAAAACCAGCTGTTTTGGTTCTGAACCTAGACAGTTATTACTGAGCCAAAAGTTATACTTTTGCCAAATGATCTTTTGTCCATGTTTTATAGCTGTTGGGAGACGTTTGTCCTCAGGGTTTTAAGCCAGATAGCTCTGAAGTTTTAGGAAAAGGATCATGGTTTGGGTTAAAATAAAAAGATTTCTTCCATAAAGAGCTCTCTGGCAAAAAGCTCTGAAGGCAAACTTATTCAGTGTGCTGTTTTATGTGTGTTGGTGGAGTCAGTTTACAGTAACTTAACTGCACTTAAAGGAGCAGTGTGTGGGATTTAAGGGGATTTAGTGGCATGTAGCAGTGAGGACTGCATCTGAAACTTCACCTGGTTAGAATTCCTTTAGTGTTCATTGTTCAGGAGGTTTTACCAGGAGCCGAATTATCTGCAGAGGTCTTTTCCTCTCCGAAACAGACCTGGGGTGTCATATATAAAACAGTGCGTGGGATCCATACTAAAAATGTATGTATGGAAAAAATATTTGACCGTTTCTACTGTCAGGCTTATATATCACTACTTTTTCATGGGAAGTGTCGTACGCCTCTTGCAGGCCTTGTTTTGTGTGTATGCAATGTTTATACATAAGACTCCAGGTGAGTTAAGCAGTAAAAACACTGAATAAAGCAGTACCACATGTTGTTTCTATGCTGCTCATTGCGGAGAGGCTTCTTACTACAGTGGCCAACACAAAAATGCAGATGGCCCACTCCAGAGCCAGTGTTTGGTTTGTCCATTCTGGGCTACTGTAGAAACATGGTGGTGCAACATGGCGATCTCTGTGGCAAGGACCCGCTCCCTATGTAGATATAAACGGCTCATTCTAAGTAAGCGAAAACACAATGATTCTTATTTTTAGGTGATTATACAAAAAATAAATAAATAAATAAATAAAACATACTAAATATATTATATTCCATTTTTGCCAATATATCCCCCTCAATTTTACACCCTGGACCTTTAACAAATTATTTACAATTATTTATGAGCTGATTTTATCTTTACGGGCCAAGGGCAGAAAAGAAAGTAGTGGCAGCTTCCTCTGTTACCAGTTGTGTTAAACAGTCATATCATATTGTTGCATATTGATCACAGACCCCTGAAATGATATATTGAGGTTGACTTTGTGATAGCGGCACATATCATATTGTCTCAAGAACTGATATAATATCATATCCTGATTAAACTAGTAATTTACACCCCTTCACAGAATAAGGAAATACTTTCAGCAGGAGGTTATATCAGCAGTAAATTGGAGGTTTCACAGATTATCTTTTATGCTGCTGTGGTCAGGAGGTCAGGAAATCAACTCCTTACTTTTATTAGCTTGTAAATGTTAATCCACTTATTTCATTCTGCTCTAATGCTGCAGGGCTCTCCTCTAAGTGGATAAAGTAACTGTTCCTGAATGTGAATCACGCAGTGGAAAGTCACCCGGACGGACCTGAGTCTTTGCGGGGCTCGTGGTGTTTCCAGTCTGCAGGCAGAGTGGCGTTGCTCTCAACCCCAAACAGGCCCCGCCTCTCCCTCTCCATGTTTTTCACGCTGCAGAACAGCTGGTTATTGGTGTTCTGTATGACACACAGAATAGTAAACCAATCAGAAATCATCAATGCAAAGAAACTCTACCGGGTTAATATGACATAAAATCTTAACAGCTGTGACTTCCTGGGTCAACATTTAATGGTTAATGAGTTTAGCTGTTGTTGACCGGATGAGTTACATGTTTGTCACAGTGCTGCACTACAGTCGCCGTGAGGCCTGAAAACTGCCTGAAGTATCAGATGACTGCGCCGATGTAACAGAGGTGACATTCACCTTGATGGTGCGGTCATGGTTGTTGGGGAGGTGTGGCAGTGGAGGCCTGTTCTGGCTCAGTGTGTGATAGCTGGGGTTGGAGTAGTAGTGGTGGTAACTGTGAGGAACATCTGTAGGCCAAAACAAACACACGGAGTCACGTCTGCTGCAAGTAAATTACCTCAAGGTCAATAAAATACACCTCTGTGGAAGACTAATTACCAAAACACAACAGCGGGATAAAACTAAAACCACATTGTGACCAAGAACAACTATAAAAACATCAAAATATGTTTTAATTATTTCATTTAAAAATGATGAATATCCTCTAAAATAAACTGTTACCTAAAGTTCACACATTGATGTTTGCAATTATTTCACTTTATAATATTTAACTCTTTTGTAGGCACATCAGTGCTCAGTATTATCAGTGCTACTTGCATCAATTTAAAATTATAACTAATTGAAAAGGACCAAAAATTTTTTACACCCCCGGGGAAAATTGTGGTTCATTAAAGTCACTCTGATACCAAGCATAGAGAATTATAGAGATAGAAATGAGGACGCAGTATGTAAAAATATAAAAATAAAATATGTGCAACATGCCTCAGTGTTGACACTAGTATGTAAGATATTCAAAATAGAAAATATGACCAATGAGCTGAGTATGTTAAGTGTGTGAAAATCTAAATATATGTGCCTTATCTCACAGTACAATATAAAACTAGTATCGGCTTATGCTTTTGTGAAAACATAATGAGATTTATAAAATGCACCACAGAGCACCATAGGACACCGGCATTTGGACTTTTTAACCCACTGCATTTATAATTCATAATTATCTATTGGGTGCAAATATTCAACTGTGGAATATTCCTCACCTCTTGAATGTATATATTAATTCAACATAACATGCATATAGCTGCACACATTTCTTATGCTTACTCTAATTCTATTGTTGTTCATTCTACTGATGGATATATTGTAGTTAAATATTCACACTTACAGCCTCAGCACAGTGGCAATATATTTTATTTTTATATCTTAAGTACAAGTGTTAGACAAGGTAGCATTATGCACATTTCATTTCTACTTTATTTTTTTATTTTACTTTTTTCATACTCTTACTTCTTATAATTCTCTATTCTTTATGTCGGAGCAACTGTAATGAACCATAATTTCCCCTCTGGGCTTAATAAATTATTTCTGATTCTCATTATAAGAACTGTCATCCAGAGTTTGGGAAACACAAGCACTTTGCAATGGTCTTACTTGTAAAAACATCTGATATGTCATCGATAAATGTCAAATAATTTCAATTAAAAATGTCAGGCATTGCACCTTTAGTCTCTTGAATGAAAGTCAGACAAGCCTAGTCAACATTCAAGCTAATGTTTATGTAGTCTAGCTTAGTTTAGTTCAGTTTTGAAGGAAACTATCATGTCAGGCTGAATTACAGGGAAATATGTACAAAGTGCCTCACAAAACATGTCAAAAAAATTCAATTTGATAGTTTATTTATGTAAACATGTAGTTGTCAGACTGAAATCACATTTGGCTATCTTTTCTGCAGTAAAAAAGATAATATCAAAATGTGGTTTTATGATTAAAAGAGGGAGAAAGTGGTGGAATATGTGAAATGCTCCTTTTCCTGTCTGCTGCTGTGGGGGCGTGTCTGTGTTTGATTGACAGCTGCTGACAGGTTCAGCTCCGCAGGTGAAGGTGAATAAACAAACAAACATGCCTGTAAATAAACAGCTCATGGACGGGCAGCGTGTTGTCAGCAGTGGTGTAAAATAATAATGACCACACCAGCGTCTGAATGGACCGAGGTGACATTAGCAGGTAAGTTTAAATGCTGTTTAATGAGACGTCAGTTAGCTAGCCGGCTAACTTGAGTTAGCTGTAGCAGTTAGTCTCTCATCCAAAAGGAAGTGACCAGTGTTCCTGTGTGTAAGTTAGTTGAAGGTCCGGTGTGTAGGATTTAGGGCAGTATTATCAGAAATAAAATATAAGATTCATAATTATGTTTTCATTAGTGTATAATAATTAGAAACTAAGAATTGTTACTTTAGAATGAGCCGTTTATACAGTAACGTTATACATGAGTAAGCTAGCGGGTCGTCCTGGGAGTCCGCCATGTTGTTTCTACAGTAGTCAGAACGGAGATGAAACACTGTGGCTTTGTCCAAACTTCCACCTTTGACTTCCACACCAACATGATATTTATAGGGCTAAAACAGTATGTGAGATTTCGTAGTACGTCCAAAACCTTTTCATGAAACAAACAGTATGTAAGTTTAACCAGCAAAATATCACAGTACAGTACAGGTGTAAATTTCCCACAATGCAGTGCGGTAGACAACAATTTTAATAGCTATGTCTCAATTCAGGGGCCTGAAAACGCACCATCAGCCTGAAATTTATGAAACGGCGGTGTCTCTGGCGGAGAATCATCTCCTCAAGTATTCAATAAAATATATAACAATCTCTGGGTCCATGATTTAGGGCTAACTAACTTACTAGCTTACCTCTTCTTTCGTCAAGTGCAACTGGTTGCTAGGTAACAAGAACGCCAACAGGTTGCGGTGAGAACAATTGGTGATGCAACCAGGAAATCAGACCAGACTGTCCCATTTTGGAGACCGTTTGGTTTGGCTAATGCAGCCTTCAAAGGACGTGGCCGACCTAGACAGCGAAGGCCGCGTCCGTTGAAGGCTGCAGCGCCTGAGTTGAGGCACAGCCAATGACAGACGGCAACCAAGACAGCTCTGTAACGTCAACAACGCTTGGATTTAAGTGTAAGTCTGTAAAAACTGTAATATTTCACTTTGTTAGGTGCCATATAGTCTTAAATGTAATTTCAAATTACAGGTAAAATTTGTGTGGCATGGGTTACCATGTTTCGTGTCCATTGATCACGGGGCCCTGTTCAATCCCATGAAAGATGCACAGTGCGAATAAAGCCAAAACACTTAAAACCAATACACAGATGTAAAAGCAAATCCACATAAATTGAAATAAAGTAACATCAAATATACCAGGGGTCAACATGACTAAACATAAAGTAACTTATGTGAAGACATTAAATTGGGAGTCTCTCAGATTTAATAGCTCTTTTTTTTTTTTTTCGGGCTGAAGTTACTGTCTTAATATCTAGCTTCATTTCATTCTTGAAAACTTGAATTGCAGTTTTGCTTTAGCTAATTTACAGAAAATAGTCTTTTTCATAGATTGTGTTGAAGCTGAAAAAAATCAAAACAAAAAGACAGAAAAATCCAGAAACTGCAAATGATTGAATTAATGATTTTAAATGAAACCTCTTTAGCATTATTGACCAAAAAGAAGATTTGTTGTCCAAACTCTTTTCCAGCATGAAGTGTTTACACAACTATTCCAGAAAGCTTATGCAGGAGAAACAGAAACAAAATTATATTGAAAGAGAGCAAGAGACAGGTTAAAGCACACTTTTCCAACAGGTGAGTCAGCTACGTCAGAAGAATTAAAATCAAGAACAGAAGCTGATATACAGCCATTAGAGGGCAGATGCATTATCATTATTTTAAGGTTTTTATATCATGCTGTAGCGTCATGTTTCTTATGTATTAAAAATCTGAACATTCATAATTTTGGTCAGAGAACATGTGTTTAAGTATCAATGTGCTATTTTCCTGAGCCATTCTAAAAACATTAGTTACTTAATATAAGTTACTTTATGATGACAATGCTACACATTAGCCCCCAGCCCGCCTAATGTGCCTCCTTGTGACTGAACTTTCTTTGAGAAGAGATATCTTTCTTCCAAATTAGCTATATATTGCTCTGTCCTCCTAAACAACACAGAAGCTGAGCTGCTGTGGACACCACATTATTTCATTGTGGAAAGTCAAACAATAACACAAACTGACACTGACGTACCTGGAACGGCGTATTCAGAGTTGACTGTGCTTCTGGTGGAGAAGGACACGGTCGGCGTGTTGTTCTGTTTGTCCTTCTGCCTGCGGCGGTAAAGCAGCAGCAGAGCCAGCAGTAAGACCACCAGGATGACGAGCACGACGATGCCGCCAATGGCTCCCCACGACTCCCTCTCACCAGGAGGAAGGGGGACCATGACACTTCCTGACTGCTCAGAGGAGTCTGTCACACAGGAGGTGGAAGGAGAAAGTACAGCAGTTTTCATTAACCTTTTAACTCTGAGATGGAACAAGGACAACACGACATGAAGCTGTTATCCTCAACTTTTTAAGAAAAAGGCTGACTTCAGTCACAGTAGGTTAATATAGGTCAAAGACGAGAGGCAGATTGCTGTGTGCAGTCAGTTTAAGTGTATTACTGTAGCTCCTACATTGATGGGAAAACCTGTTTGTCTCTATACCTTCTTTACAGTCCTCTCCTTCACACACACAGTCTCCAGTAAAGCGGTCACAGCTGAGGTTGGGCGAACAGGAGCAGGTCTGAGTGCAGAAGGGACCAAAGCGACCTGGACTACAGGCTGGAAAACACAAGGTACATGTCACATCCATGCATTAGACACATGTAACAAGTACTTAACTTTGGCGCAAAGATAATGCTGCTCCATGATAAATAGTGGAAGTGGGTGTAAGGCTGATTACAGTTACAACTTTTTCTTAATAATTTAATAAATGTTTAAATGTATTTTATTTAAAGTTCTGGAGAAATCTGGCCATGTAGAGCTGCGACGTTTAGCTGAATAGTTGATCAACAGAACACTTGAGCCTACTATACACTAGAAAAAAGACTTCTTAGTTTTTAGTCACACACTTTAATATTTTGCAACGCCTGGGGATCTTTCAGGGTCACTATTTGCAAGACTACAACTTGATTCCTTTTCAGATTATTTCCCATCTTGCTCCTGGTGGAAAATGTGCAGCCAAACTCCCTTTAAGAAATACGACATATTAATAATTCCTCATGTGTCCGAGAAAATGCATAACTCTAGAAACACAGGATAAAAGGCGCCATATGTTGACAGTGTTCTTGTCAATTTGGCATCAATATATTGCATATAGATAAAATTTATTTGCATATAAAATTTACATTTCGATTTTTTAGCCTCAACTTGCTGCCAGCCTCCGTTGGTTAGCTGCACTATTGTACTGGGAGGAGGCCATTGGAATGAGAGGTGCATCGTTTCAAAAATTAAGATTTTCACTAAAATAAGTTACTAAGATAATAACACTAAAGGTCCTTCTTGGATGTGATTGATGCAGCAATCAGCTGTATTCCGCTCTCAGCAGACACATTTCATGTCAGTCTTTGGGACATTGCCTGCAGAATATGCTCTTTCCTAGTTGCTATATGATGTTGCACTCACGTATGGAGCAGTCAGTGGCCGTCCAGCCGGGCAAACATTCACAGTGACCGTCCCGGTGATCGCATGTGGAGTTGTTGGCACAGTTAACACACACTTCAGAGCAGTGTTTGCCGTAGTAGCCAGCTGGACAAACTGTGAAACGCACAATGTCATTTTTTAAAATTACCTGCAACAGATTATATTGAAACTGAATGCAGACAGTTTCTGTAACATCTGTGCCGTGTGCATGTGTGTTGAAGGAGTTTGGACGATTTGCACATGGGTGATATATATTGATGTTAACACCAACCTTGATCACAGTTGGGTCCAGTGTGTCCAGGTAGGCAATCACACTCTCCTGTCACATGGTGGCAGCGGTACGACTGGCCACAGGATGGGCAGGACATACTGCACTGGTCACCGTACATACCAACTCTGCATTCTGGGAGACGAGAATAATCAGTAACACAATCAATCCAGTACACTTCTGGTTTTTATCAGATTTTGTCAGCTGATTGACAGCAACACTCACTGTTCTGGCAGGTGACTCCCCAGAATCCTGGGCGACACACACACGCTCCATTTTCCCTCAAGCAGGTGTCACTGTTGGGGCAATGCTTGAAACAGGTGTGGTTGCAGTGGCGCCCCCACAGGCCCTCTGAACATGGCTCACTGCAGCGAGAACCTTGAGGGGAAAAAATGGAGAGTGGATGAAAGGAGAAGTACAGGCCCACTCTCACAGGCAAATTCACAAGAGAATGAAAAGAATGGATTGCAGCTGCAGATAGCACCACGGATTGTGCGTCACTTATCGCTATCGGCTCTGTCGGCTCTTATGCCCAGTTCAGACCAGAGATTCACGACAAGACAAGCTGAAACAAGCAACTACTGGCAATGTGCCGTTCTGCAACGTTCTAAAAACCTGCCGGTTCACACCAATGACACTAGATGGGATGGTGTATCATCTCTATGCAACAACTCTCTGTACTTATGTCCTGATTTGCAGCTTTTCAGGCGTATTTTGTGGCTGAATATAATTTGTAGCTTCTTAAAATAAGAATGAGGATCGTGATGGTGAGATACTGGCTACAGCTGCATTTGTAGTAGTGATGAAATGGTGAAAAACAGAAACAAAATGAGCATCAGATGGACTGTATTCATAATAAATACGCCACAATAATATAAATAACCAGCGCCAATTAATCAGTAGGGCGGGGCATAAGCTCATACAGTGAGGAGCAGCAGCGACCCACCGTCCAACACCGACACACCGGATGGAAACAGAGGGCTCGATGGGGACTGAGCACCTGCGGCAGCAAGCAAACGTGCCGTCTGCGGTCATTTTGACTTGACCAGTGGACTTCACTACAAGCTGATTGGCTGTAGAAACAGGTGACATGCTTTACGTTCTTAAACCAACCGCCAGCGATTTGACCAGCTGAGTTGCAGGTGACATCATCAGGCCAGGTCACACCACTGCAACTTTTCTTTGCAAGGGTTTCATCTGGTTGCAAATCTTGGGTCTGAACTGGTCTGATCCTGTAAAGCTTTTAAAATGAAAACTAACAGCTGCAGGGAAAGTAAAAAAACCTCTAGTGTAAAAAATGTTTGTCAGTAATGTATTGTTGATTTGAAGTCACTGGGCAAAAATACACAACGTCACCGGTGGTCCAATTAGTCTTGAGAGCAGTACAATCCGAATCAAGGAGAGACAGAGTGGTTTAAAACCTGTGGCTCACTCAGCTCTGCTGGACCAGACTTATCTGTGGTACCAAAGCCAAGCTGGCAGCGACTCCAGGAGGACGTCATCACTTACCCCACCAACCTGGCAGACAGTGGCACTCCCCGGTGGTAGCTTGGCAGCCGTCGGCATGAACACAATCACACCTCTTCAGGCAGCCTGGCCCAAACGTGCCCATCTGCACATATGAGCAAATGCCAACGGGCAAAGAATTGTCAGGGGAATCTCTTCAACATTCGGCCAGCTCAGTCAGAGTCAGACAAAATACTACACTGGCAATGTGTCGTTGTATGGACAGCCTGGTGGGTTGGCATGGCAGAGACAAGAGGGGCACACGTCCAAGACCCAGATTAAAGCATACAGAGGGTGAGGTAAGGGATGAAAAACTGGACAGCACTTCTACAGAATGTCCAATCAGAAACAACGTGTTCTGTATAATTATCATCCTTATGATTTGTGTTAGTCTTATCAAAGATAGCAGCTCATTTGTCCACTCAGCTCGACATAGAATAAACATATAGTGCATTTTTCTCATCGTCTGCAGTGAGTATTATTTTACAAAGTGGCATGTGTTTTCATGTATTACTGGGGCTTTAGTCCAAGACATTTTTATGTTGTTTTGGGAATAAGGGTGCTACACTTTTGCCGATAACCGTGACATTTGAAAATGAAATATTGATATCATGGTAATAATACACATGTGATAATATTGTGTAAATAATCCAGTGTGTCTTAAATAATTTGTTTCTGTCTGTTCTCGCTATGTCTCCTTCCCCCAACACCATCTGGCTGCCTTTTTACTGTCCATTAAGTGTGATTCTTTTTATTTTATTATAATTTATTTGTTAAAAAACATATAAGAATCAAAGTTAAAGATTAATATGACTGAGAGCATTATTTTATTTATGTATTTATTTTATGTCATTTTGCAGTAGTATCATTGTCGTGAACTCTTTTGGCCACGATATCGTGTAATCACCAGTCCCATATATAAGACAAACAGAGAAGAAGTCGGAGGATTAACACTTTCAAATCTTTTTATCAAAATGTTGCACCCTACTGTGGTCATTACACCTCCATTTATTTCATTTTTTAAATATTTCTATTGTATTCTGTTTATGTATTTATATTTTATCTTAATATGTAGGTATGTATATATCGTATATTTATATCTTACTATCAAATTGAGTGGCTTTTTTTTATGATGATGATGATGATGATGATGAAATTTTTATTATTTTCTCTATTATAACATCATCATTTTTGTAACAGGCCTGAGCTTGATAACATAATACACAGATGAATACTACTGTGAATAAATTAGTAAAATAATAAAGATAAAAGATAAAACACAGATGAATATTACTATAAGTAAATTAGTAAAATAATAATAAAAAATAAAACAAAACAGATGAATATTACTGTAAATAAATTAGTAAAATAATAAAGATAAAAGATAAAACACAGATGAATATTACTATAAGTAAATTAGTAAAATAATAATAAAAAATAAAATAAAACAGCTGAATATTGCTGTAAGTAAAGAAGTAAAATAATAGAAATATATAATAAAAATCTATAAAATAAAACAAATGCAAAAATATCAAATAACATCAAATAGGGGACAAATAAATATGTTTTAAAAATGATTTTAAAAAAAATAATGGGGGTGTAATGATGGCGTTATAGTCATACACACACATTAATCATATAGAAATACATTTCACATATGTACACTTACTCTTAGATCACTGGGTAAGTGATTTATCAGTGGCTACCATACATTTATGAAACTGCTCTCATTTACTTAGATTTTGGCTCTGAGTCTTTCCATGGGAAGGACTCTGAAGATTTCTTTATACCATTGTGTTAATGGGGTTTTTTCTTGGATCCAGTTGTATTGGATTGGTAATTTTACCTGGGAGTGATATGTGTTGTGCAGTTAGTAAGTTTCTGGAGATATAATTTTTTGTCACCTATTTGTATGTAAGGTAGCTTTTATTGTTTCCCTAAAGAGAAATCTGTTAATAGTAGAAATAGTTGCATAAAAACAGACATGTCACAAAAGATGCCATTTCTGTACCATTTTATAAACGAATGGGTGAAGCTGCAAGGCTTACCGGGCACGGTTGGTCACAGCGCGCCCCCTGCCAGCCGGCCGTGCAGGTGCAGGATCCATGTGCAGGATTACATTTTGCCCCGTTGGCACAGTGGCAGGTGGCGTTGCATCCTGGGCCCCAGGTTCCCTCAGAGCAGGGGGTGGAACAGTCCGGCCCTCGCCAGCCTGCAGGCACATGAAGGACAGTCAGCTATGTTTGATAGAAAGTCAGTTCACCACTTTGCTCAAGTCATGCATTCATCAGTCTGTCAACAGGTCAGGCGGTCACACATCTCCTCTTTAACACCACTGTGAATATTTTTTACCCTCTTTGCAGAAGCAAGTGCCGTCAATTGGCGAGCAGTCGATGAAGTTTTCACAGGAGCACTCCAGGGAGCAGTTCTTGCCATAGGTGCCACTTTTACAGAGATTCTCACAGTGAATGCCCTGAAATAATAAATAATATTTACTTTAATAATAAACCTAGAAAGCAGATAAAAGGTGAGATAAACATACAGTAAGAATAGGCTGGTAGATCTGAGCGGTAACAGCAAAGACAGTGACAAGAAATATAAACATGATTCATAAACTTAATTTATTAATTCATCCACTGATTCCTAACTTCATCATACTAAACTCCACCACTCACCGTAAACCCTGGAGCACAGTGGCACTGTCCTGTGGCACTATCACACACCCCTCCATTCACACACAGACACGGCTCCAGGCAGCCATGACCGTAGAAACCGTGAGCGCAGGTCTCGTTACAGAACAGTCCTGCCCAGCCTGGCTGGCATGTACATTCTCCTTTCATTGGGTGGCAACTGGACAATAAAACTAGAGGTTAATATGATGAAATTGTTGCAAAGAAACAGTGAGAGAGTGCTGCATGTCAAAGAAACATTGTGCACTGTATGTGTACTTGTAGAGGTGGAAATCATGAATCACTGTTGATCTGAATCACTTCTATCACCTTTTTTTAATTGCAGAGCAGTTCTAAAATCAAAAATAATCTCATTGGTTGAAAAAAGAACTCAGCTGTTGGAGCCAATGAATCTGAGGACAATTAAGCTAAGCTAATTAGCAAACATGCAAACCCTCACAGGTGTTGTCAATTAATTCTGGTTGATTAGGTCATTATTTGCCTCCACAGGTGCAGCAGGAGGGTGAGTGGGATGTCAGTCAAGCACAGTATACACACACTCCACACCTGTGTGGGTTTAAGTGGGCATGTAGGGTGAAGGTGTGGAGCAGCCTCAATGAAAGCTAGGAGCAAAGCTAGCTACAGTATTATGAAGCCAAACTGACTGCGACTGAAAAGAACTTTAAGTCTTGCTGAGTGCTTTGTTTAACGACCCCTCCAGTGAAAATCAGGTTTTTTACCTTGTTAATGTCTATGTGCATGTCTATATGGTGTTTTTTTATGTGCTGCAAGACATATCATGAGTGAATTAAGCAGTCAATGCCATGGCTGAGCATTTTCGCCTCGGAACTTTATTGTACCAACTAATGATAAGCCTGGATTCCAACAGAGAGAGTTTCTTAGCCTACATCACAAAACTTAGGAGCCAATCATGTCAACTTGCGAGGTGGAGTTTTCCTTATGATTAGCATAATGCTATGGCGAAATTAAGGCAATAAATTGTGAAGACAATAAAGCCTCCACAAAATAGCATTTTAAATCTTGTAAAATGCCTTAAAATGTAATCATTTTAAGGCGTGTGCTAATAACATTAGCATGTTGTATTTGTTTGGAAAACGTGTGAAGTATAAGACAGTTGTTTTGTCAGTGAACCTTGTGAGTTGTAATGGAGCCGAATTTTGTAACGTTACCTTTGTTAAATGTTGCTGTTGTCCCTGGCTTCATATGAGTAGAGGAAAAGTTTGCTAGCCGCTATGCTAATTTATACAATGTAAAATGCCATGGGATTGTGCTAAAAAAATAGCATGTTGTATTTGTGGGGAAAATGTGTCCAGATAAAGACAAGTGTTTGTCTGTGAATGCTGTGAGTTACAGTGAAGCTGATTTGTGTACTTGTGTTTGAAATTGTCTCTATTAAGCCATGTTTAATGTGTGTTTAATGTGTGTTTTGAATCATTTAAACTTTTTAGCACTTCACAGAAACCCCGCTGCCGACTAGTGTTTTGGAGGTGTAACTGCAGAGTTACACAGACACAACCAGTCTAGTTGGCTAACCTGCTGGCTCTCACTGTCATGAAGGAATAAAGATAACTTAAGAAGTCAGCACTAAATTTGACCCTTGTTTCATTCTTTTCCAGTTACCAGGTGGCTAATGTTAGCCTTGTCCAGAACGGGGCTATCAGAGCCAGCCTCCTGGTCGTTTTACGGACACAGATGGCAACAACGAGCTCATCGGGCCCACCAGCATCAGGTGCTGAGGACTTAAAGACATACTTGGAGAGGCCTTCAGCAGGTAAGATTAATGCTTTCTTGGAAAGTTTCTCATATAAACACAAATCTGAAACCATACACTGTGTTAACATACCAGGACTGGCTTCTAAGGAGTGGATGAACTAAGGTCTAAATGGGGCTACTGGTAGCCGGCTAACTTCCCAAGATTGTGTCTCTTTGGCTCCGCCCACTGCAGTTTAGCTCAGCCAAAATTAGATTATTTCTTTCTCCAGAGCAGCACTGCCTCAGAGACACGTTTACCTTGCTCAAACACCTGTTCTTGTTTCGTCAACATCCACTCACCTGAGTGTGTGTTTGTCCTGGCAAAGACACAAGCGCTCACAGTGCATGCCGTATTTGCCAGGTGCACACATCCTGTCCCTGCAGTGTGGACCACTGAAGCCCGGCTCGCAGAGGCAGCCTCCATCGATGTTGTAGCAGCGTGCGCCGTTAGCACAGTCACACACACCTTTACAGTCCTGACCATAAGAGCCTGCAGCACACTCCTCATTACACCTGGGGACAGGAACATGAAAGCTTACACAGATGCACAGAAGAGCTGGACGAAATGGAAAATAATGCACAAGTGTGTTGTTGATTTGCCTATAAACCACACACCAAATCTTAACTTCCATGTTGTATTGTGGTTAGCTGGTCATGATGTTAGCTGTATTTGTTTGTGTTTGGTGTCTGTAAGCTAGAATAAATTCTGTTTGACAAAAAGGCTGCAATCGTAATTAGCCAACCCAGCTGGGCTGTGATGCTTTTAAAGGGACCTATTATGTTTTGTGTCTTGTGTATGATGTTACAATGAAGCATGTTTATAGTAAACATGGTACAAGTTTCAAATAATTAAGTAAACACATGTAAAAGTAATCCATGTGAGCTTCAGACCATTCTGAACGCTGCCTTTCCAACAGTTTTTCTACTCTGGCCTCAAGATGACATCATATTGTTACAGATTTCTTTATATGGTCATCTGCTCCAAACACGCTACTGCAAGTGTTTACATTACATATGTCATAGGCTGCATGCTAACATCAAGTCAACGTGTAATCTTTGTTGCTGATGTTGTGAATTTCTCCCAGAGCTTGGACCATATTTCTGCTGGAACGTGTCCAGTTGGGTTTAGAAGCTTTTGTTAGGGATTTTTTTCGCTGTATAAAGTGCTGCTTATCTCTGTTACAGTCATTGCCTGGCTGCAAGTATGCTGCCAACGTACATGTAGCTACATGCTAACAGCTTTAGCTTGTGATTTTTCATGTAAAAAGTGCAGCGATTCCTTGTTGCAGTCATCTTTTGGCTGCAATGACTGTGCAAAGACACTGAAATACAGAAAACCCACAAACACAGACCAATCAGAGCAGACTGGGCTTTTTCCTCTCAGACAGAAGATAAATACAGATGTTCAGGCACAGACATTATGAGGAAAATAATGTGTTTTTTCCCCATGAAAGCATGCAAACATGTTCCAGTAGAAACCTTAAATACAGCTATGAACCTTAAAAAATTAGCATAATAAGCCCCCTTTAATACCAAAAGACATTTAGTATATGAGGAACATAAAATACCGAATCAAGGTGTCTCCACCAAGCATTGACTTGAATTCTTAAGTCAACAAGTTTTGTGGTTTGGTTCCTGTCTTGCTATGAAGCGAGAAGCAGTGTGCATACACACCTGTTACCAGTGAAGCCTTTAGCACACTGGCACTGTCCAGTTTCAGGGTCACATTTGCCCCTGTTGTGGCAGACACACTCCTCAGCACAGTTTTGTCCAAACCTTCCCTCTGAACATCTCTCCGTGCAAACTGCACCCTGCAGAGTAACAAGGAAAAAACATTGATGAGGCAGAAAGACAAGCCAAGTACATGCAGATGCGTCATCGCAAAAACTGCAGTGAATCGCCACCAAGGCAACTTTACAACTGACGTAGTTACTCCGAAAATAAGTGGTTAGTTTGCTCTCATGGGATCACAATCATGTCTCCTCTCGTGCATGTCTTCCAAAGACAAAAAAAGAAAAACTCATGAGAGATTTTTCATATCAGTGGAAAACCTTGCATCTGCATGTCTCCACAGGGGACAGGTTACCTTCAAAATGTCTTAAGGAATAAGTCAGGGACTGTTTGTCCAAAGTTTGGAGCCAGCTGGAATATAATACGAAGCTAATTCAAAATCTGGCAACTCCACGAACAACATGAAGGTTAGTGTTAGTGCAAGCTTTGAAACTTGAAAACATACCGTCCATCCAGGCGGGCAATCGCAGATCCCTTTGCCCTTACAGATACCACCATTCTGACAGGGGCATCGCACCTGGCATTTCCTGGGACATGCCTTCTCACAGCTGGGGGGAGAGGACGGAGTCGATGCTTAATAAAAGTTAAATGAACCACTTAAGTCAAAAACACTCCATGTGTCCTGGGACATTCCTGAGGACTTAAGTAAATGTTTTGTTCTACAGTAAAAATCAGAGTTTTTATGAAGTTGGTTATTTAAGGATCTGCACAAACAGTGTAAAGTTACTGAGTACATTTACTCAAGTACTGTGCTGAGGTGCAGTTTTAAGGTGCTGCTTTACTTTCTGTATTTCCTGTTTCTGCTACTTTCTGCAGCAAATAAATGAAAAATATTATACTTTTAACTCCTTTTTATTTGACACATTTAGTCATGGTTACTGTGCAGATTCAGATTAATAATTAAAAATATAATCCATCATTAAATTCAAACATAGATTAATATAAAACTTTACTGATCCACTGGGAGAATTCCAGGGGAGAATAAAACTAGCTCCGCTTTTACCAGCTGCAACATTAAACTGATGAGAACATAATGCATCAATAATTATAATACAATATTGTAATATTCAATATTCTAACATGATCCTTTCTGCATGATGAGTATTTTTACTTTTGTTACTGTAAGTATTTTTTGATGCTAGCACCTTTTGTACTTTTAATTATTGACATTTTGAAGACATGACCGTTACTTGTATCTCTGACTAAGTAAAAGATCTGAGTGCGGTGAAGTCAACCGATCCCTGTGAATTCCAGCCTTGCAGTTTTGTCCAATGACCGCAAATTTGACCCATCATCAGTTTCCTGTGAGTTTCACCAATCATAGCAGCACTCACTTCCTCACACCCTTGCTTCCGGTTGTGAAGAAGCCGACATGTGCAACACGAACATCTGACATTTACCAACAAAAATTACAGCTAAAGATCATCACGTCAGAGGCTGTTGCATTCAGATCTGTTGCATGAGCTGAAAGAATCAAGATGAGGTAGAATAAATATGCATGGTGAGTGGTAACTTTAGTGTAGTATTAATCAGTGGTTTGCAACTGGTGGGTCGCGGTCAAAAAGTGGGTTGTGGCTCGCAGACCTGTCACATTTGTATAAAACGTACTTCTTTTTGAAGTACTGTGAATTTCTGGCACACAGCTTTTATTTTTAAGTGCAGTTTCCTGCTGTAGAGTGAGGAAATAACAGACAGCTACTTGACAGTGACAGCAAACTAGTTGGACGACATGGCCAAACACAAGTATGACACTGAATATATGTAACTGTGTGGACCTTGAACTAATGACTGAGGAGAAATCTGGACCCTGTGAATGGACCAGTTGGGAACCACTACTATAAATCATAAACTCAGAATAGAGTCTTTTTATTCTCAATGGAACAAGTAGCTATTTTTGCAATTTTGTGGGAAAGCCGCTTTGAAGTCAGGCATCTGAGGTCGCAACAATTTCCCCCCAAAAAAAGCAGCCTGACATAATGACCCTATAGACAGCATTTCACAGTTCATACCGATCGATTTTTATATTCTCCTAACGTAGAAAAGAAGAAGGAGATAAAAGAACAGCAGTAGAGAAAGTATAAAAAAATGAGAGAGCAATAAAAAGGAAAAACTAACAGTAGTTCTGTGATCACTATAAGTCTTGGCATTTCAGCGGCTTTGTGGGAATCATCAGCGCAGTTGGAACGTGTCTTCGACCAATCAGATTACTTGGCTAAAACTACCTGTAGTACAGTTCAGCATTGGGATATTTTCTAATACACCCTTGGGGTGAAATAATATGGACTGACTTCAAATATACACAAATCAGTGCTGCCAAGCCCCCGTTCTTATTTAACCCTAAGTGGAGTTTGTTCACATTGGCAGTACAAGAGTTTCCACTCATATTTGGTTGGGAAGAATTTTCATTGCTTACTCATCCTTGGGGGCATCTAAAAACAGGGTGTAACAGATGACTCATGGATTATAGTGTCGTACACCAGGGTCTTTTTTCCATCCTAAAGTGAAGTTGTGGAAACAAATAACTCGGTAAGAGCTGACAGATCTATGACTGACAGACCTCCTGGGAAAATTTAAGATAATGAAGACAAGCGTAATGAAGTGATGAGTAATGATGTGAGGTATCAAGTGTCTGCTAAATGAAATAACGAACTGTACATACTCTAAAAATGGCTGATATAAAAAAAGACATTGTGTCTATTTTTAGCCACTCTAGCGGTTTTACTAAAGTAATTTTGTAGAGACAATCATGGTTCCCAGAGGATGAATCCGACTAGTTTTGGTCATTCCCCTGACTCCTCCAGTGACACCAACACAATGTTAAATTTTGGATTTAAGTAAAATATCTCAACAACTTTTTTTTGGACTGCCATGACATTTAGTTCAGACATTCATGTTCCTCTCACTGTGAATGTTAGTAACTTCTCTGATTTTAAAATCTAGAGCGATTATCAGGTTAACATTTTAATTTGTGTAATACTTTAAGTTATGACCACATATCCCGGAAAACTAAAGACACTCCCATCAGCTTCAGCCTTACTTTGTTCAGCGCAAATTAGCAAATGTTTGCATACTTACACACTAAACTTGGGTTGCAGTGATATACTGTACTGGTTTCAAGGTATACCGTGATATAAAAGTTGATGGTTAGCATACAGCGTGTACATTTGCTTATCTACAATATTTAAATAAAAAAAAATGTTGAATCCTCCCTTTATTTTAGTTATTTTC